TGGTGCAGCCGGAAGCAGGCCACTCCCTGCCCCTCATAGCCAGACCTTCCAGGTGGGGCAGTAAGAAGGACCCCAGAAGGGGACCAGAGGCTGACTCCAAGCCACCGCCCCTCCCCCGCTTCTACTAGGCTGTCTAACCTCCCTCCCTCCTGCTGCAACCCGAGTCCCCGGCGGCGGGCTGGCGTATCGGGTGGCCGCGGCGACGCAGCCACCAGCCTCCGTCGCTCCTCGGCGGGGCCGCGCCGGCGGGGCCGCGCCGGAGGAGGGGGCCGAGAGAGGGGATGTGCTCGGCGGCGCGCCGCGCCGAGCCAGGTGGAGTCGCGGTTACCGGGGCGACCGGGGCCCGGGCCGGCTCCGCGGCGGCGGCGCTCGCACTGCAGCAAAGGGCACCGGCGGTGGCAGCGGCGGCGACGGCAGCTGCGGAGGCGGTCGGGGGAGGGGAGAGCCCAGGCGGGAGGGAGTCGGGAGCCGCTCCCCCTCCCCCGCCCGACGCAGACCCGGGGCTGGGGGCTCCCGCACACACACCTGTGGCCGCAGGTAAGGGGGAGCGGCTGCTGGGGTCCCCGGAGTAGCGGCCTTGTGTTCGGCTGGGGATCGGGGCATGGAGGTGGGTGTCTGTCCGGGGGAGGAGGATGCGCGGGCCTGCGGTCTCCGATCCCCGAGAAACGCCCCCTCCCCTCCCCCACCGCGCTCCCCGTCTTCCGCGTGGGCCCGGCCCGCACCCCGAAATGCGGCTGGCGCCCCCTCCCCCAACCTCAGGAAGTCATGACCTTCCCCGGGTGTGCCCCCGCTCCTAGCCGCAGCGCAGGTCCCGCAGCACCCCCTCCCACGACTCTGCATTAGCAGAGGAGGAGGGGAGAGCACCGATGGGCACACCTGGGGCGGGGGCTTTGTGCAGTGCGACGCGTGGGAGGCTGGCGCTTGTGGGGCGCTTTGAGTGACCCCAGCCTGGGGCAGTCCGGGGGGACCTGTGTTCACAGGAGTTAGAGGTGGGTGTGTGCGCCGGTGCACGCGGAGCCAGGGGGATTCAGGAATAGGGGTGAGGACCCGCTGAACATTCTCCTGCCTTTACAGAGGATGCGTCGCCGGGGCCCCGAGGTCAAGGAGGGGTCATGCACTCACTAGGCGTCACTAGGGGGGACCCTATCCAGGGAGGGGAGAGACCTCAGCTGGTTGGGATAAGGCTCCCCAGGGGGCACTACTTGCCCCTCCCAGGACAGCATGTAGTGCGAAGGATCAGCTGCAGAGGAAGGGACCAACCCCACTAAAAGGTGACAGGGGTTGGGGAGTGAGGGAGGGAGTTAACTCCTTAGGCCCCGGAGGAAACTAGCGGAAACTAGCCGTTTGTTCTTTCCCTGGGAGTCTGAGGACTCCCTAGCTTTGCTTCCTTGGGTCTCTGGAGAAGCTCCCCTCCACCTTGCCTGAAAGCCTAGTCTCTGAAATGTGCCTGGCTTCTCTCCTTCTTGTCCTTTTATAACACTTCTTATTTTGCCCCAGCTTCTGTAAGATTCTCCCTCAAGGGTGGCCATCCTAGGCAGCAACTCTTCTGGACCGTTTGACCTCTGGCTGACTGCAGGGAAGGGAAACCTTGTTCTTGGAGGGTTTGTGTATAGTGGGCAGCCAGGCCTCTCTTGGGCCTCTGTTTGGCCTTCCTGCTCCCTGCCCTCCTTCGGGGGGGGGTGTTTCTGGGGCTGGGAAGTTCCAGGGAAAAGCCCCGAAGGCTGAGCAGAGCTGTGCGCCAGAAGATGGAGAGGGTGCCAGAGAAGAGTAGTCAGACACCCCTTCCTCCTGTAGGCAGTCTCTATTTGATTGACATTCCTTCATTATCAAGTATTTGTTGAAGGCCAACTCCCTGCCAAGCACTGTTAGGCACAGCAGTGGGACTAGACAGCCAGGAGAAGGGTACGGAGGTAAAGGGTGCTGGGTGCAAGTGAGGAGTGACTAGGGAGTGTCCCATCTGAAAGAACAGTGATGAAGCTCTCTGATCAGTTCCGCAAGGCTGACCCATGGGTTTAACCTCCTGGAAAGTGAAAGAGACAAGGACTGGACAGTACACCAGTGGCCTCTCCCCACTATAGTCTCCAGTCTCCTCTCTCCAAGGAAGCTGTGTCTTCTGGAAACCAGGTGTCTTATTCTTGATTGGGCCAACGTGAGAAAGGATCATTCTTCTCACTTTTCAGAAGGGAGGATTGAGGGGCAGGATTCTCTCAATACCTCTATAGACCAATCCAAGTTCTCCAAGCACAAACACAACTTGTCTTCCGCCTTTCCCCTTCTCTGGGGCTTGGCTAGCTTTTCCTGTGGCAGAGCTATCATCTAGTCCTCCCCCCTAGCCCCAGCTAGTGGCCTCTCCCTTCCAGGCTTGACTGCCCGGGGATGTGCCTAGCCTTGGGACCCTGGGCTAGGTTCATGTTGAAGGAATAGCTAATGTGGTAGTAATCAGGCCCTAGCCCTATGTCCTCCCAGGGGCATGAGGTGAGCAACAGTCATCTGCATGAGGTCCCCTTAGTCCAATGTGTAAGGGAAATGGAGGAGACGTAGGTCAGGCTGGGGTATCACTCTTCCCACCCTGACCCCCTATAAGTTGGCATTGGTGGTGGGGTAGGTTGGGGCACCTGCTGCTGCTTTTGAGTCAAGATTTCACAGGAAGTCTGGGAATGGTTGGCATGGGACAATAATAGCCAGAGGCAACTTGACCTGGCTAGTAGGGTGAAGGTGAGATGGACTTTCTTTGTGAGCTGGCCCTGATGTCATGTGTGTGTGGTACTGTTTTTTTTTTTTTTGTGTGTTTCTATAATTCGTGCATGTCTGTTCATGTGTACATGTGACTACCCGGGTACCCATGACTGTGTGTGTTTCTGTCGCTCTGTGGGTGTGCCTATAGGGAGGAGGATGGGTGTGAATGGTATCAGTATCTCTGTGTTTTGGTGTGTGGTTCTATGACTGGGTGTGGTGCTTGTGGGAACGTGTGTGAGCAAGCTGGTGTCCTTTGGGAGGGTTTCATGTTTTCATGTTCGTGTGTGAGTAGGGGCTGGTCTATGTACAAAATCTCTGTGCCTCCATTTCTGGGGCTGTTTTTGACTGTGGAAGGCTTCTCTCTTCATGCTTACATCCCTTTCTCGGTATGTTTTTGTTGCTCTGTGTGTTCGTGGAGGTGTACTTATCTAAGGATGCTCTGGAGAATCTGTGCTCAGTTCTGTTTATTGCTGGGAGCTGAGCAGCCTGTGCATACGCCGCCTGTGCATATATGGTGGTGGTGGGTGAGGGGCATGTGGCCTGCTCTGCAGAGCGGTCCATCACCGCTGGGTCTGCAGACATGACTCTCACCATAAACCTCGCTGTGCCCTCTGCCTGGCTCTTCCTGTCCCTACGTGTCTGCTCCCTCGGCTGCCATTCCCCTTCCGAAGGCCACAGACAGCTGTAGCTAAAGCCTGTTACTCCAGCCCCTTGCCTGTCCTCCTCTTGGTACCTGTGGGCATTCTCTGCCACCCATGGAAGTAGCATGTGTGCATAGATTGTCCCAGGCACTGACTGGAGCACAGACTTTGCCGTCCCTTTACCCGAGTAAAGCATGTGACTATTGTTTTCATCTCTTGGAGCCAGTGTCAGGGCGAGGGTGGGGGCGATGGGGCTGTGGCTCAGATGGGGGCCAGTCCTGGCAAGTGAACCTCTCCGTCCTAGTCCCGGCCCAGTGTCACCCCCACCCCAATGGTCTGCCTCAGGCAAAGCATCCATCCCAGCAGTGCCCCTCGACTCAACCAACCGCTAGCCAACTCCTCCCTGTCATTAAAGCATTCAGGTGGCACAAAACACCCCAGCATGGTGTTCCTCCCCCAGTGGGGACATTCAGTGTCCCTCTCCTCTATCAGTGGCTCTGAGTCCTAGGGAATCTTGTCTCTTTGTGCCAGGCACCCCAGGGCCAGGCCATCTGCTGCCTCTGTCTTCCTGCTGAGGCTGGCACCGGTCAGCAGGGTGTCCTCAGCCTTGCCAAGAACCAACCCAGCCTCAGGGCTGCTCCTGCCTTGGCCTTGGCCATCTGGAAGGGCCTGCTGGTCTCCAGGGAAGGTAGGGCCACCCCAGGTTACAATGACTGGGGAAGAATTTGAGGCCCTGATCTAGGAATGTTAGGAAGGAGGCAGAGAGTTCTCCTCTCTCACCCACCCAGCCCAGGTACCCAGGCTCCCTAACTCCCTTTGCTGCCCAGGGCACCCCATCCACTGCTAAGTGCTATAAGGTTGCTGACATCTGTCCACCTTTCTCTGTAATCCAGGGCCGTCATTTCACACAGACCTCCCTGGAGTCCAGTTCAGATCCTACTCTGCCCCATTTAAATACTTTCTGCCTGTCTAGTAAGGTCCAAATGCTTTCAGTGGACATTGGAAGTTGCTCATCATCTGGCCCCAGCCCCCTCCCCCCGGCCTAATCTATTACTTTCCCAGCCCTGACCCCAGCCAAGCTGAACTACTGACCGTTTCTCAGCACTCTATGCCTGCCCTTCCCATGCTGTTCCCACTGCTCAACATACCTTTTCTCCCAGACTGTAGCCTATTTATCTTTCAAGACCCAGTTCAGATGCCACCTCTTCCAGGAAATTTTCCTGGCCTACCACAATTAGATGCCATTTCTCCAGGCCCACAGCTCAGAGTTATCTCTGGCGCTCTTTTGACAGTGTCTCAGGGACTCCCTAGCTCATGATCATGTATGCCTTTTCCTACCTGTAAACCTGAGGGCAGTTACTGTACCTCAAATATGCAGCTTGTAAACATCTGAAATGGTTCTCCCCTGACCCACCAGCAGGCTGTAACCTACTCAGGGCCATACTGGGTGCACCATGGTATTCTGGGACTCTCGGTAGAGGATGGGCTGTACCAGGGATCACTTCCTTCCTGCTGCTGGGAGGGTGGAGGGTTCACGTCCCAGGGCTGAGTGAGAGTCTCTAACCCACCTCTTCTGCTCTCTCCCAGCCCCCACATAATTATCTCTTCTCTTATTTCCATCAGCAACCAAACTACTGGAGTTTCAAGGTCAGTGTGATGCTTCTGCTTCTGTGACAACTGCATGTGCTCTGCCTCCCTTGACCCTGCTTCTCCCTTGCACATGCTTGGCACAGGGGTGTGCATCCGCACAGGCACCCTCTGGGGTGGGCAGTGGGCCTAGGGGCTGCAGACTGTGGCTGCTGCTTTGGGAGACTCTGGGTTTGCCTGCTGGGGTCTTGTGGATCCACAGTGGAAGTATGGGCTGCTTGCTGGGGATGTTCAGTTACCAGGCTTCTCCAGCCCATGAGCAGCATTTTGGAATGAGAGGGGCTACTTGACATCTTCCCCAATCTGGACAGCGTGTTGACACTGAGGCAGGGGCCTGGAACCCAGAACCTTGTTGAGGGCTCTTTTCTATGAATTCATATGTCACCATCCAGGGAGATCCTGTGGTTTTGTTGGGGGCCTCTTCTGCCTTTCTTACTCCCCACTGTGGAGAAGCTGGTCAGCACCTGTGGGGCAATGCCAGAAAAGAGGTTCAGGGCCCTGTACCCCCAAACCAGAGGTCCCTGCTGCCTAAGTGGAGAGCTGAGCTCAGAAATAGGGGCCTTCCTGCCTCTTCTGGATAGTTTGGATTATCCACAGTTGGAGAGCTGTCTGACCCCTCCAAGGCCTTTCCTACTGACCCCCAGGGCAGCAGCCTCTGGCACCTCCACCATCCTGTGTGGCACCTAGGCCAAGGGCTGAGTGAGCCAGTCTAGATTGTTGTTTGCATACTGGAGTCTCCCAGCCTCTAAACCCCAGGCATCCATCTCAGAGTCCCTAAGAGTCATCATATGCCATGTGTCTTGTCTACACATACATTCTCTCAGAGCACTGCAAGAAATCCTGGAATCAGAGGATCATGGTGCCAGGCACTGCGTCTTTGGAAAGGGCAGGAGGGAGTAGTCGTTGAATACTTGAGAGTTGGACTGGCTGGTGGTGAATTCCAGTTTGCAACTAACTAGTTCAGTGATCTGGGGCAACTTACACAATCCCCTGGGCCTGTTTCTCCTCTGTAAAATGGACCCACAATACCTGCATCACACCACCACCAGTTGGCTGTCAACTGATTCTGACTTATGGCAACCCCAGGTGTGTCAGAGTAGAATGGCCCTCGACAGAGTTTTCAATGACTGGTTTTTCAGAAGTAGTGGCTGGGCCTTTCAACCAAGGTAGACTCGAACCTCCAACCTTTCAGTTTGCAGCTGAATGAGTTAATTGTTTCCACCACCTGGAGATTCCACTTGCATCATAGAGTTGTTGCAAAAAACTACCAGGTTCTATGGAATCAACTGTGACTCATGGCAATCCCATGTGTGTCAGAGAGGGACTGTACCCCGTAGGATTTTCAATGGCTGATTTTTCAGAAGTCAATTACCAGACCAAACAATGTGATTTTGCATGTCCTAAGCACAATGTCTGGCTCATAGTGAACCATGAATGGTAGCTAACTTCATTAGCTGTTAGAATCATGGCTGCTGACTTGAGTCCTAGACCTGGGAATCAGAATCTCCTTGGGAACTTGTCAGAAATCTTGAACCCCAGGCCCTGACCTCCTAGAGATTCTGATTCAGTGAATCTGGGGCCCTGGAAAGAATGTTTTAAAAAGCTCTTGAGTGATTCAAGCCTTTGGGAACCTCGGATCGTAGTCTGACCATTCAACTTGAGGTCCCTTAGCCTGATCTCTGACTGGGAATCACCAGCTCCTCGTTGAACACCACCTCCAGTTATAGGTGCTTACCACCTACACCATGGCTGCCCCTTTCCTATCTTTGGAGAGCTTCATTTGAATTGCAGTTTTGTTCTTTTGCCATTTCCTTCATGCTTGGGACATCCTTCTGGAAGTTTCACTTTCCTCTGTCCTCTTGACTCAGCCCACCAGGCATGGTGTTTTTAGTTGCCTCATATGTATGTGAAAGCTGGACAGTGAATAAGGAAGACCAAAGAAGAGTTGATGCTTTTGATTGGTGGTGTTGGTGAAGACTACTGATAGTACCATGGACCGCCAGAAGAACAAATCTGTCCTGGAAGAAGTGCACCAGAATGTTCCTTGGAAGCAAGAATGGCCAGACTTTGTCTCATCTACTATGGCCATGTTGTCAGAAGGGCCCATTCCCTAGAGAAAGATATCATGCTTGGTAAAGTGGAGGGTCAATGAAGAAGGGAAAGGCCCTCAATAAGATGGATTGATACACTGGCTGCAGCAATGGGCTCAGGTATAGGAATGTGAGGATGGCACAGGACCGGGCAATGTTTCGTTCTGTTGTACAGAGGGTCGCTATGAGTTGGAGCCAACTTGATGGCACATAACAACGTTGACTCAGTCCAGGGATGGAGAGAAGCCCTAAGGGACTTTCCCTCTTCTCGAGTGAGTTTTCTATGAAGGCTGTGAGGTAGAAAAGTGCCCGTGGGGTTGGGATGGAGACAAGAACTTGTAGAGCAGCGAGTGTGGGCATCTCTTCCCAAGGTCCCCTGGTCAGGGTCCTGCCGGCTCAAGCAGTCCCCGGATCCCTGATCCCCTGCATCCTGGCTCCTGTTCTGTCTTATTGGCACCTCACTTGTGCCCCTCAGGCACTGTGGTCACCCCCTACTCTTCATTCCTGCTAGCTGCCTCATTCTGCCTGAATTCTGTAGCCCCTCATCCATGCCAGGCTGGCAACCACTGACCTTTCGGTTGCCTGGCAACCCCATGACCACCAGACCACAGTGCTGCAGGCTTCCTGTCCTTCAGCTGGGGCTGAAGGTGAGAGAGGGGCACGGTTAGTACTGCTGATCAGCCTAAAGCTGAGCTGTAGGGTCCAAAGTCTGGGCACAAACATCCCCCCAGATGGTCTTAGTTTCTATGCTGGCTCCCACGTCCCCAGATCCAGGCCCACTCACTGCTCAAGGCATTGTGCTTGAGGCCGGAAGCTTCCTGAAGTCCCCAAATCTGATCATCCATGTCCCCAAGCCCTAGAGGCCATCCTGGGGACACCTGGGCACACTGCCCATTGGAAGATGCTCTTTCTGAGAGTACTAATCCGACTGGAGCATTAAACCGAGTTAATACGAAGGTGGAGATTAATTAGGAGTTAATCAGGATTTGGAGAAGGAGGGAGCTGAGGAGAATAAATTATTCTCTTTTAGAAACACTTTTACTGGATTTTTATTATAAAATAATATATTCTGACTATGCAAAATTCACACAGCAGAGAAATGTATAAAGTGAAAAAAGAGAGGCCCTTCCCAAGCCTGAGGTAACCACCTAACGGTGGTTTTGAGCATGATTTTGTTGTTAAGAAACAGACAATATATTTTACAGAAAAATACAAGAGGGAATTCTTTTTCTTGATGATATATGTGTATGTAGATCTGATTCATTATCTTTCTGTCTTAAATAATTGAGTTTGTGTACAGGTCAGAGGGAAGAGCCTGAAGCAGGATGGTAGAATCTGTGGCCCTGAGTGACAGACCCAGCCTTCAGTCTAGAGTAGGTTTTAAAGTGTAGTTGAAATGATGAGGACCTCCCCCACCCCACAGGACAGAGCTAAACAAGCTGCTCCAGCAGGCCACTGGATAACACCCTTCTCTGCCCCCAGCCAGTTCTTACCCTCAACTGGAACCTTGGTGCCCAGGGCAAGCAGCTCTCCTGCTGGGTACTGGGGCAGGCTCTTCAGGCCAGCTGGCTGGGTGGCAGCATGTGGCCTGAGGACGGGTGGTCTAGCCCCTGAGTCTGTGTACTCATGCGTACTACACTGGGCTTAGCGTGTGCATTGCGTGTGTCAGGCAGATAGCCTGTTTAGAACTAGAGTCCAGCTGGCTTTCGGGAGTTTGGGATGGCTTTCCCAGTCACCTTAAATCAAGGGCATTCTCTATGCCCACCTCTGTGAGGGCCCACCCCTCTCAGAGCTGGGATCCTGACTCCCCAGCCCTCCTTGCTTTGTCATGGGCCCTGCTACCCACCCCCACCCCTCTGAACTCCACCAAGGATAAATTCGCTGCTCACAAACCCGCCGCTTAATTAATGTCTGGAACTAATGCCCCAATTTGCTCAACGATTCTGCTGCTCACCTCGGTGACAAATTTGTGTTGTTGTTATTCTTTGGAAGCTTAAAATAGCAGGCGTGCCCATGGCTCCCACTCAGATGGTTTCTTGTCTGGCTTCTCAGGGTGCCCGGGTCCTTTGCCCACTCCTTCCCTGCTAGGTGTCCCAGGCAGGCCAAGGCCCCAAGAGGTTGGGGAGCTCTCCTGTGGCCACACAGCCAGTCTGGAATCCAGGTGACCTTCCAGTGAATGTGTGTGTGCTGGTGGCTGCTGGGAGCTCCCTGGACCTTGACAGGGGCAGCAGCCCAGCGAAGGGGGCTCACGATCATTTCCTCTTGCCCTGCCCGGCCCCTGCAGACCCGCAGCTCGCGCCACACGCAGGGAGCCCAGCCTGGGCTGGCAGACCAGGCAGCCAAGCTGTCATACGCCTCAGCTGAGTCGCTGGAGACCATGTCGGAGGCCGAGCTGCCCCTGGGCTTCAGCAGGATGAACCGCTTCCGACAGAGCCTGCCCCTCTCCCGCTCGGCCAGCCAAACCAAGCTGCGCTCCCCAGGTACTGGCTGCGGCTGGCCCGTCCTCCCTCCGCAGGCTTAGGCTCCTCCCTCTGCTCTCCCGGGCCCCTCCAGTGGAAACCTTTCCAACACCCTCTTCAACTCTCGTCTCTCCTCCGCCACTTCCCTCCGCAACCCCTGGCTCCCTTCCCCTTCCCCCCATCTCTCTTCCACCCCTCCTCAGCAGCCCCTCCTCTCCTTCCTCAGCTTCTCTCTCCCCAGCCCTCCCCTCTTCTTCTCTCTCCCCTCCTCTGTCTCTTATCATCCCCAGCCCTACCCCTTTCTCTCTCTCTCCAAGTTTCCCTTCTCCCTGCTCCCCTTTCCCCCCGCTTCAGCCACTATTTCTCTCTCACAAGTCCTCCTTTCCTTCCTTCCCTTCCCAGTCTTATCTCCCTTCCCCAACTCCCCAATCTCTCTCTCTCCCTCAGCAACTCTCCACCCTTCCGGATTCCCTCTCAGCTTCTGCCCCGTTGCTTCTGCCCCCCATTCCATTCCAAGTTCAGCTTCCAACCTGCCGGAGTGGTTGGGTGACTTGAGAGGCTGGGCGCCTGGCCCGCACCCTCAGCATGAGGAGTGCCTGGGTGCACTTGCACTCGGGGCCAGCGTCCGGCCTCAGACCCTGCCGCTGCAGTACCGGCGCAGCTCCTGAGGGTCCCCGTCGCTCTCCCGGCGGGCGGCGTGGTGGCGGCGGCGGCGGCAGAGATAGCGAGGGCGGTGTTTCCTCCGCAGGGGTGCTGTTCCTGCAGTTCGGGGAGGAGACTCGGCGCGTGCACATCACGCACGAGGTCAGCAGCCTAGACACGCTGCACGCCCTCATCGCTCACATGTTCCCGCAGAAGCTCACCATGGGCATGCTGAAGTCGCCCAACACCGCCATCCTCATCAAAGACGAGGCTCGAAACGTCTTCTACGAGCTGGAGGATGTCAGGTGGGCGTGGCCCCGGGGGTATGGGGCAGGTTTCCCCGTACCCTCTGAGAGACAGGGGTTTGACCAAGCGGGCCCTTTCTAACACCTCGCCTTCCAGGGCCCTAGCGCCTCGCCTCCTCCCCTCTAAATCCCGCGCCCTGGCTGCTTCACAGTGCCTAGAACTCACTGGGAAGTGGCACCTGAGGCCGGGTAGTGGGTGGGGGTGGGGGTGGCAGGCAGCCTGTGGCACCAGACAGACCCACTGAGTGTGGGCTCGTGGTGCCTCTTGCTACCCCTGGTTCCCTAGGCCAAAGGTAGGCCCCTCCCCATCCTGTAGGGCTGGGCTGGGGGATGGTGACCCTCTTCACCCCTTCTCCAGGGATATCCAGGACCGGAGTATTATCAAGATCTACAGAAAGGAGCCGCTCTATGCAGCATTTCCTGGCTCACATCTCACCAATGGGGACCTCCGGGTACAGCTGGGGATGCCCAAGGGATTGGGGGGCTGGGAAAGCTGCTGGATGGCCAGGGTCGTCCTGATGATGGGTGCTGGTGTGGCCTAGGAGTTTGGCAGGTGGAGGCTAGGTGGGCAGAGTATGGGCAGTTGTCACCAGGGGCCAGGGCCAGCTTCAGTGAAGTGGACATAGGGGCTGAGGCAGAGTTGACTGCTTTAGTTGTGGGGTGATGAGGAGCCTCTTCCCTCATCTGCCACTGTTCCCTCCATTCCCCGCTGGAACGCTCAAGCTTCCTCTTGCACACGTCTGTATATTCTAAGGGGCCTCTCTCCGGAACGACCTTCCCTCTTCTGCTTCCCCGCCCCTCCCAGTGGGCTGGTTGAGGGTTGCCCCATTGTCTCTGAGGCCTCTCCACCAGCCTCTTCTCCCTCCATGCTGGGAACCTTGGGAAAGGGGCCCAAGATAAGGCAGCAAAGACAGAGAACAGACGGGACTTCCTAGGGCAGATGCTTCAGAGGGCAGATGCTGGTTCTTCCAGCAAGGGGCAGGGGTCCCCTGTATGACCAGCCCTGTGGGGTTCCGGGGCTGTCTTCTGCGCAGAGAGAGATGGTGTACGCGTCGCGGGAGTCGTCGCCCACGCGGCGCCTCAACAACCTGTCGCCAGCGCCACACCTGGCGTCGGGCTCGCCGCCGCCGGGGTTACCATCAGGGTTGCCGTCGGGGCTGCCTTCAGGCTCGCCTTCGCGCTCGCGCCTCTCGTACGCCGGGGGGCGCCCGCCCTCGTATGCCGGCAGCCCGGTGCACCACGCAGCAGAGAGGCTGGGCGGCGCCCCGGCCGCCCAGGGTGTCAGCCCCAGCCCCAGCGCCATCCTGGAGCGGCGCGATGTGAAGCCGGACGAGGACCTGGCGGGCAAGGCGGGCGGCATGGTGCTGGTGAAGGGCGAGGGCCTCTACGCGGACCCCTACGGGCTTCTCCACGAGGGCCGTTTGAGCTTGGCTGCGGCCGCGGGCGACCCATTCGCCTACCCGGGCGCCGGCGGCCTGTACAAGCGCGGCTCGGTGCGCTCGCTCAGCACCTACTCGGCCGCGGCGCTGCAGTCGGACCTGGAGGACTCGCTCTACAAGGCGGCGGGCGGCGGCGGTCCGCTCTATGGCGACAGCTACGGCTTCCGCCTGCCGCCCTCTTCGCCACAGAAGCTGGCCGACGTGACGGCGCCCCCTGGAGGTCCCCCGCCGCCACACAGCCCCTACTCCGGTCCGCCCAGCCGCGGTTCGCCGGTGCGTCAGTCCTTCCGCAAAGACTCGGGCTCCTCATCCGTCTTCGCTGAGAGCCCCGGGGGCAAGGCCCGCAGCACCGGGAGCGCCTCGACGGCCGGAGCGCCCCCTTCCGAGCTCTTCCCCGGGCCAGGGGAGCGCCCGCTGGTTGGGTTCGGGCCGCCTATGCCAGCCAAGGATACCGAGACCAGGTGGGGAACCAAGGAATGCCTCTGGGCTGGGGGCGGAGAAAGGAGACAAGGAAGGCAGAGTCTGACAGGATTGCATTCTGGATCTTGGCGGCCCAGGGAACCTGGAGTCTTTTGTGGTCCCGAAGTAGTCTTGAAGGGTCGTCGAGGCGCCGTGGCTGTGGCGGGCAGGGGGCGGGGTTGCATTGTAAAGAGGGACATCCTATTTTTCTTTTCTCTGCAAATACTGAAGCTTCGATGACAGGGTCCCAGAAGAGAATTCTGGAGATCCCTGTTTTCATCTGTTCCCTGAGCCTCAGATTCCCCAACTGTAAAACTGAAGGCTCAACCAGGGCTCTTTAGTCCTTTTCCAGCTGGGACCTAGATTTCCCAGCTGTGAGAACTGTCCAGCACAGGGATGTCTGAAGTCCACTGGGGAGGGGGATGTTGGTAAGAAATAGGGATGGGAAAAGAGGCACTTCTCCCTCCCGGCTGGGGAGCCCTGGCCCATTGGGCCTGAAGGAAGAGGTAATTGGAGCACTGGTCTGTCCCTCTGCCCTCAGGCAGCACTACTGAGGGTGAGCAGAAGTGATAAGCGTTTGCACTGTCGTGCCAAGTTGGGCAAATCTGGTTCCTGCCTTGGTCTAGTGGGAGTGAATTCTTGCACTTCCCTTGGGAGGTTCTAACAAGGATTTTGGGAGGAAGGGGTCCTTGAGGCTGCTGGGGACTCAGGGATGGCTTGAGAGAGGAGGCAGGGAGGAACAGCATGTGTAAAGGCTTGGAGAGTTAGGGTGGGGTCCTTAGGGAGTCAGTGGTGAAAGGTGAGGCTGGAGAGGGAAGGAGTGACTGTCACATGGAGTAAGTCTTATTGATGCTAAGTGGGGACTGGTGCTTGACCCTTAGGCAGCACCACCCTTTGAATTGCCTGTGTGCTGGTAGCAGGGGAGGGGATGCTGTTTCCTTTATCAATTTTGGGAATGGGGCGCTGGGCAAGAGGGACCCTACACACAAAAGAGGGAATGCTCAGAGCCATATTCTTTCCCAGAGAGCGCATGGAAGCCATGGAGAAGCAGATTGCCAGCCTCACAGGCCTGGTGCAGAGTGCCCTGCTCCGTGGCTCAGAGCCAGAGACTCCCAGGTGAGGCCCTCTTCCAACACCACTGCCAGGGCCTGGGCCTAGGGTTGGAGGAAGGGGAGATGAGCAGTGGGAGCCCGGAGCCCAGCTGTCATTGCCCCACTGTGGGACCTTGTGAGTCCCTACTCCCCTCGGAGCCCCCATCCTGAGATCCAGGGGCTAGAGAAGATGATGACTAAGGTCTCATCCAGCTCTCATAGCCTGGAGCCATCTGGGACCCCCCAATGGTCACCTTTTTTTCCCTATGCCACAGTGAGAAGATTGAAGGCTCCAATGGAGCAGCCACGCCCTCAGCACGTGAGTGACACCCTTCCTTGCCTTCCCTGAGCCTCACTTTGCTAGTCTGTTAAATGGAGGGTAAACACTAAGCACATCACCAGGCCTTCCCAATGGATAAATGAGGCACCTTGGCCCAAGATGTTTTCACCCTGGCGCTTTGTTACCCATGGGAGGGCTGGCCACCACTTGGAGCAGGGGATGAGAGCCACGTCCCTTCCTAGCTACTCTACGGGATCAGACGTGGGGAGAACCTTGCCCTGGACCCTCCCAGGCTCACAGTCTGCCCTCTTTTTCCTCGTCTTCTGCAGCCTGCGGGTCAGGCGGCCGGAGCAGCGGGGCCACCCCGGTGTCCGGCCCTCCGCCACCGTCGGCTAGCAGCACCCCTGCCGGGCAGCCCACAGCCGTCAGCCGCCTACAGATGCAGCTGCACCTGCGCGGCCTGCAGAACAGCACTAGTGACTTGCGCGGCCAGCTTCAGCAGCTGCGCATGCTCCAGGTACCGCCCTCTCCCGACCCGGCTCCGCGCCCCCGCCCCGCCAAACCCCCTCCCAGCGGAACTGGCCAAAGCCACTTCCCACAAGTCCCGCCCCCTCTCCTCCTCCCTCGTCCTCCCCTCAAAAGTACAGGCGCGAGTCCCTAGATGCTCATTGGGTCCCCCTTAGAAAGCTTTCCCCTCTTCCCCAGCCCCTCTCCCTCACTAAGCCCTCACCCTTCACCCAATGCCCACCTGACCTTGAGTACCCACCGCCCTTCTTGAGTTCACAGGCCTCCCAGCTGAGCCCCTTTCCACGTCACCCCCCTCAGGGTAGCTCCACATTTCTTCCGGGCCGAAGGGGAATCCCTTTCCCTAGGTCCCCTCAGTTCTCCTTCCTGAACCCAAGCAGTCTCCCTCTCCCCGTCCTGCCCTGCCTGGCAGATGGTCCTACCTGTCAGGAGCCTGGCACCGCTGTGCCCGCTCCTCGAGAGGGCCTCTGGGCTAGTCAGGTGAGGATAATGCGCAGAGACAGGCTGGGGAGGACCAGAGAGTTGCCATCTGGGCAACGGGTAACGTTACCCCACCTCCCATCATTTTCCCAACTCGGGTTTAGAGTGGAGTTCCAGAGCTAAATTAGTCTTCCCGTCCCAGCTACGGAAACTCAAACTCCCAGCACTTGGGTCCTATCTCATCCCAGTCCCGTCCCCATTCAGGACCGCTTGAAGCCACAGTCAGCCAGCCACGCAGGAGCAGCACTTTCGGTTCCTCCCGCATTCCCATCTCTCTCACCCATCTCTCTATTTCCTCAGAACTTAGCCCTAGTTCTCTGCCCCCACCATTCCACCTCTTGGCTGCTGCTGACGGCCACTGCCTGCAGCCGCATCTTCTGTGGAGCCGTTGGCTCCGCATTGTTTGCCCTCTCTCTGCCCGCCTCCTCCTGGTGCTTCTCCTGCTGCGCGCCTCTCCATTCCCTCCCACCCGGGTCCATTGGTCCACCCGTGCGCCCCGCAGCTACAGAACCAGGAGTCGGTGCGCGCCCTGCTGAAGCGCACAGAGGCGGAGCTGAGCATGCGCGTGTCGGAGGCGGCGCGGCGGCAAGAGGACCCTCTTCAGCGGCAGCGCACCCTGGTGGAGGAGGAGCGCCTGCGCTACCTCAATGACGAGGAGCTCATCACCCAGCAGCTCAAGTGAGGCTGGGCCCCGCTGCTCAGGGAGAGGGGTGCGGCCTGGGCACAACCTGGTTTCACTGGGAAGCACAACTCCCTTCCTTCTGAATCACAGTGACGTTTGTCTTTCCTGAAGCCTAATTTGATTTCTTCTCTGTGGCCTGATTTCTCTGTGACCCACAAACCTTTGACCACCTGGCATAATTCCTGTTTCTTTTTCCTGGCTTGATGCCTACTTTTTCTATGGTCTTGCTTCCTATTGATCCACAGTCTGGCTTCCATTTGGCCTGCGGCCTTACTCTCATGTGGCCAGCTGCCTGATTTCACTCTGCTTGCTGTCTGCTTTCATTCTGGCCTGTGACAGGTACAAACTGACCCTTGGGTAGAGCGTTCGAGTGGAGTGTTCAGGTATCGCCAATCATGGCTTCAGCTTGATGTTAATGAGCCACCTTGCCACCACTCTATCCCCGGATCTCTGAAACCAGGCATAGCCAAGGAATAACCTCCTCCTTTCCTAGTTCAAGGAGCTCTGGTGGTGCAATGCCTAAGGCATTTGACCGCTAACCAGAAAGTTGGTGGTTCAAACCCACCAGCTGCTCCATGGAAGGAAGATGGCAAAATATACTTCCATAAAGATTTGCTGCTTCAGAAACCCAGTGGGGGTCACTATGTGTTGGAATCGACTTGATGGCAGTGAGTTTGGTTTGGTTTTTGGCTTCTTAGTTCAGGGAAATAAGGCTGTAGCCTTTTCAAAAGAATAGGGGAAGAGAGAACACCTGGCCCCCAAATGCTTAGGCATGGAAAGGTTAACAGAGTTAACAGAGTCTTCTGATCCAGATTTAGCAAATGGGTGTCTGGACACCATTTGATTGTCTGGCACCAATTGTCTGGCACCGTTGAAGGGAGAAGCCGCCTTTCCCTGCCCATCCAGTGAGTACCCCACCCCCACCCCATTGCATCATTCCTTTGTCAGTCATTGGGGTCTGAGGTAAAAGTCCCATTTCGTCCCTTCCTCTGGCCTCCTTGTTGCCACAGGGCACTAGGGGACCTGAAGTCTAGCTCCAGCACTGATGGGCTTTGTGACCAGGGCAGTTCCTGCCTCTCTTTGTGCCTCAGTTTCGTCATCTATGCCCAGTGTTAAAAATTTTTGCAGTTCTCTCCAGAGAAGGATTGAGGTATACTGAACAGTGACTCAGGGAGCTGGGAGAGGCTGCTGAAAGGAGCCCAGCTTCTTCACTGAGTCTGGGCCCCTTATAATGGGGTTCCTTGAGAAGGGTCAGGGATCACTGCTCCTCAGCCTTGGGCCCACACAACCTGGTGGTCCATGTGCATTTCAGCAAGGTACAGGGCAAAGATTCTCATGATGCCTTGTAACTGAGGTGAAATAAGGAGCCACCTCATGTGGAAATAAGCCAGTGGCAGCCACCCCATAACTCTAGGGTTGAAAACTTAGGGACACCTCCAGTCAGATCTTTAAGTGAACTGGCACCTGCTATCCCCCCTCACCCAGGGTACTCCTGTCCTCTCCCTGACCCTTTTCACTCCGCACAGAGGAGCTGGGGCCAGTCAGAATTTTCAAAAGGAACTTTAGTGAGACATTAAAGGAAAATAAAAGGAAATACAAAAGAACAGAGGCGGAAGAGATGAAAGATCAACTTATGCTCTTGTCGTGATGAATGTCTAGTCCTTGGCTTCCTGAGGGGTTCAGTTCTTCCCAGGAGCACATGGTCTCCCCACCCCATGCCCTGTTCTCAGACCCATTACTCAGACTGCTCACTTGAGAGAGCATGGGGCCTGAAATACTGCTCAGTCTGGCAGAATTCTCCATCCTCATTGAATGGGGCTTCTGCCCTGTTGGGTGAGGCCTGGGCTGTGCTGTATGCCAGCCCAGCCTAGCCTTGAGGTCCTTTCTACCCAGCTCCCATGGCCTCCCTGAGGACTAGGTCAACTGACATTAACCCTGAAGGCCTGTGCTGGTCCGGCTCTGGCTGCAGCTTCTACGAGCCTTGCTCTTGTCCTAGCCTTTACAGAAGTCAAGGCTGGGTCTTGCTTCATTTGGCTTGGCTCACAGACCCTCTCCATTCAGCTGAGCATTTGAGTCTCTCTGGGCATTGCCTTAGGGTCAGCTTCTGCTTACTGAGAACTTTTGGCCTCTAGAGCCTACCTTTGTCTGATCCAGGGCCAGCTTAATGGGTGCGTGACCTGTGCACTCACACAGGGCCCGTGCTCAGAAGGGTCCTGTGCTTGGTTAACGCTCTGCTGTCAGTGCCTTGAGATTCTCCATACATTCACAAGGGGCCTTATATTTTCATTTTGTATTGGGCCCAAGTTATAGCTGATTCTGGCCTGACCCTCCTTTCTCGACCTCTCCAGGACTAAACCTGGGTCTAGAAAGCTCAACC